CTCTCCATGTTACTCTCTCTCTCTCTCCATGTTACTCTCTCCCTCCATGTTACTCTCTCTCTCTCTCCATGTTACTCTCTCTCTCTCTCCATGTTACTCTCTCTCTCTCTCTCTCTCCATGTTACTCTCTCTCTCTCTCCATGTTACTCTCTCTCTCTCTCCATGTTACTCTCTCTCTCTCTCACACTGTTATAGCTATTTCTAGGCAGTTGGCGCTTAGTTGTGACGTCAGTAAGGGCAGTAATGAAAATAGATATAGTTTCCGCCTTGTGGACTATGACGTCATCCCTGAGCTCTGCAACACAACTGCCCCACTTCCGGTCTGTGCGTTCCATCTTGCGTTCCACCTAACGGTATCCCTGCCTGACACGCCCATGCTGTCAATCTCCATAGGAGGTCACGTGACAGCCAATGCCGCCATATTGTCTGGATTAGCTGGGGGGAGGATCTCATTCGATGGCTGCCAGGTATGAGAGAGAATACAGAGACCTGCTATACAGAGAGTGAGAGAGAGACTGGAATAATGTGTAATAACCAGCCCTGGATACAGAGAGAGAGAGAGACTGGAATAATGTGTAATAACCAGCCCTGGATACAGAGAGAGAGAGAGAGACTGGAATAATGTGTAATAACCAGCCCTGGATACAGAGAGAGAGAGAGAGACTGGAATAATGTGTAATAACCAGCCCTGGATACAGAGAGAGAGAGAGACTGGAATAATGTGTAATAACCAGCCCTGGATACAGAGAGAGAGAGAGACTGGAATAATGTGTAATAACCAGCCCTGGATACAGAGAGAGAGACTGGAATAATGTGTAATAACCAGCCCTGGCTACAGAGAGAGAGAGACTGGAATAATGTGTAATAACCAGCCCTGGATACAGAGAGAGAGAGAGACTGGAATAATGTGTAATAACCAGCCCTGGATACAGAGTGAGAGAGAGACTGGAATAATGTGTAATAACCAGCCCTGGCTACAGAGAGAGAGAGAGACTGGAATAATGTGTAATAACCAGCCCTGGATACAGAGTGAGAGAGAGACTGGAATAATGTGTAATAACCAGCCCTGGATACAGAGTGAGAGAGAGACTGGAATAATGTGTAATAACCAGCCCTGGATACAGAGAGAGAGAGAGACTGGAATAATGTGTAATAACCAGCCCTGGATACAGAGAGAGAGAGAGACTGGAATAATGTGTAATAACCAGCCCTGGATACAGAGAGAGAGAGAGACTGGAATAATGTGTAATAACCAGCCCTGGCTACAGAGAGAGAGAGACTGGAATAATGTGTAATAACCAGCCCCATACAGAGAGAGAGAGACTGAATAATGTGTAAATAACCAGCCCTGATACAGAGAGAGACCGAATAATGCGTACAACCAAACCTGATACAGAGAGAGAGAGACCGAACACGTGCACAACCGTACCCCAGCTACAGAGACTGCAGACCGGAATAATGTGTAATGAACCAGCCCTGATACAGAGAGAGAGAGAGAGACTGGAATAATGTGTAATAAATCCAGCCCTGATACAGAGAGAGAGGAGAGAGAGAGAGACTGAATAATGTGTACAAATCCAGCCCTGATACAGAGAGAGAGACTGAATAATGTAATAACCAGCCCTGGATACAGAGAGAGAGAGAGAGAGAGACTGGAATAATGTGTAATAACCAGCCCTGGATACAGAGAGAGAGAGAGACTGGAATAATGTGTAATAACCAGCCCTGGATACTTTAACGGACCGTTTCTCTCACAAGAGGATAAAAACCATTTAGGCGATAATCCCCTTTCCCATAGACCAGCAGCTATTGCAATCACCAACCTCCCGAACTCCAAACTGTACGAATCCCCAACTCACGAACAAGAAATACACGAACTCTGGAAGCAGCCGAACAGGAAAAGCAATACGAATGGCTTACACTCCTGGCAGTCAGCACACAATCCAATTCCCCCAATAACGAGACGACACTTCGTTTTGAGGGTTAAGCAGAATCTCTAGATTTATTCACACAGCCTCCTTTTAAGACATGCTCCCATGCAAGGGAGGGATCCACAACAATTAGTACCCCAGCCAATAATGTACCAGTTACCTCCCACACATCTCCTCCCCTTAGTGTGACACATAATCCCATTAATACAGACACAAATTCCCTGGGATACTGGATGTACCCCTAAACATAGGAATACCCCTTTAAATGTTACATCCCCTGGTAACCCTGATCTGGGTGAGACACATATCCAAAAATCACCCAGATCGGACCAGGGGTTCAGGAATTATAACGGGTTAAAGTTTTGACCGACTGCATGGCAAAAGTATCCGAAAATAGTTCCATGTATTTTGGCCCTGCAGTCGGTCACAGAAAAGGGAATGAATCACACGAATTGCCTGGGTTATAGAGCTTGGGGAGGATTCGTATGAATCCCCCTGTTCGTGGGATCCTTTCTACCGAACGGTGGGCCGTTCGGTAGTTTCTGCACGAATTGCTGGAAGTCTGGAGGTCTCAGCGGTGTTTGCTTAGTCAAGTGTCCGATTTTAGTTCCAGACACTCGACGGCAAAACACCGCTGTTCGGGAGTTTAAGATGGCCGCCGCCACGTGTTCGTTTCCCGAATGGCGGCCACCCAGAGGACACAACACATAGTACACATATAGCCAATTACCCATTTGCAACATTGTTGCAAACGGTAATTGGAGGCACACTTACTCCCGGGTGGTCTGGTTGTTCGGTAGTTTCACCCAATATAATGAATGAAGTGGTTCTACCGAACAATCAGGGGAATGCTGCATTCACATAACACTTTATACCGAACACATAATATTAAATACAGCCTGAATGCAATTTGCTACACAGTCTTAAAAAGGCATTATTCCTAACAGGCAGAATATGTTCACGGAGGGCCCTTAAAGGGCCAGTAGCAGCAATATAAAAATGTCACATGCCCAAATATTGCATACAGAAGTACGAATTCACAAGGGGGCCATAGTCAGATGGCAGGAGGCTGGCAACCAGGCTTCTCCAGTGCATAGTGGCGAGGTTGGTTTCGCCACACTTCTCCCCTTTACCACTCAGACTAACAGGGTATCTGACCTCCTGCCGGTCAGTGCCCTTGTTAGTCCAGCAGCCCACCCACAAAACACAATCCGTAATACAGCCCACCCACAATAACTGGCTACTACACCAGGGTAGAGTAGAACTTTGTCCGTGTCCAGGTGCCTCACCCTGGCTGCGTGGGGGACTGGTCAGCGTACTGGGTGGGTTGCTGAGTGTACAGAGACCAGCGGTACTCTGTCCTGGTGCCAGCACTACCCTGGGAGCAGTCTGGTTGGAGCCTGGTTGCTGGAGAAGAAGGCAGACTGTCTCCCCTTTGCCTAAACAGTCCTGCTGCTGGGTGACAGGACCGACTGTCCCTACCCCCGGTGGTGCATGTGCAGCGACTACTGTCCCATCTGCACTGTTGTGGAGATTACTGTCTCCCCTTGGTGGGTTAAGCTGCCGCTGGGGAGAGAGTGTAACAAGCTCCTCTCCCATACATACTTTCAGCCGCTGGGGAGAGGGGATAACAAGCTCCTCTCCCTGACACACTCTCTGCTGTTGAAGGGGGAGACCGACTGTCTCCCCTTTCAATAATTCGTCCTGTCGCTGGAGAAAGGTGATAACTGGTTCCTCTCCCTGGAACACTCTCTGCTG